CATGGAGTTTTGACTCTCAGCCTTGACTCATCCTCCCGTGGCCTGTCCTTGGTCAGTTTTGCACCGGGAAATCAATATCTGCAAATATTTAATCTGCAGTCCAATCGTGCAGGAATACACTGTCCTCCACTCTCCAGTTTTCTCTCTTCTTTTGCTTTCTGTTTACTGTCTGTTTTCTTTCTTTCTTCTTTCCTCTTAGCTGTCCCATATATTTGTCTGTGGAACAAAAGACATTTACCCCAGTAGAGGTAGAGAGGTCATAACATTGTTGGCCTTTTCCCCATGAGTAAATGTTGAACATCTATGTTTCACAGAAAACAGCATATCCTCTGTCAAGAGTCAGACATGTGTCCATCTTGGTAAAGTTTACTGTATCACTGTCATCCCGTTGTTCATTGATTTCCTTGAGCAGGCACCAGTAATGTCTCCTTCATCCTAACCCTGAGATTTTAGAAAGTGCCACATTTGAGACTCTTTCAGGGTCAGGGGAATGAGACCCATCATTGTTACTGGGTTTTAGCATATTGAATACGTCACGGGGAGCTTGCCAGACTCTGCCATGTGGGCAGGATATTCTCAGTAGCCTGCTGGGTTTTCCAAAAGTAAGAACTAGATAATGAGAAGTCGCACGGCCACAAATGTGGCTGCATCCTTCCGGGAGCTGGTTTTTATAGTCTCTGGGTCTTGGCTGTTGATGGAATAACACAGTGCCAAGGGCAGTTGGTAGGTGTAACGCCTACCTACTGGAAGATGGGGGATCTGGGTGGAGGAGGCCCAGTCCTGATGCGAGCAGGCTTAGAGATCTCAGCCCCGGGTCCCGCATGTCTGGGTCCCTCTGCCGGTTCCTTCATGCATGAAGCTCATCCGAATGTGTGGAGAGTGGTCTCAGCATGGCTGTGGCTGGTTCTGGAGGTCTTCAGCTGCAGGGGCTCTGCTTAGGGCGAGGAGGGAAACTCGACCCACCCCCCTCCAAGGGGCCCCAGTGAGGACAGGTAGGTGCAGGGGCAGGAGACTCTGGTAGCGTTAAGAATTGAAAAATAGAGATGAAAGGTTGGAATGGGGTTAGTTTTGCTAAACACAGCAGACCCAGAGAACTAACTTGGAATACTGTGGTTGCATAACACAAATACTATTTGAAAGTTTATGGATGATCAACCACACAGAACTTGTTAAGACATAGACACCCAGCGGCCAGAGAGATAGTATAGCAGATAAGGCTCTTGCTTTGCATTGCAACTGACCTGGGCTCAATCTCTGGCATTCCATATTATTCCAGAAAGCCAGAAGTAATCCTTGAACCCTTCGAGGTGTACCCCAAATATAAACATACAGAGAAGAAAATAAGACATAGGCACCCAATGTCAACACACCCATCAATTTGGCCTCTTTCTCCCTTCTTCCCAACTTAAATTGCATCAAAACAGTCCATTATTCATTGATTGAAAGGCCAACATGAGCTGGAGCTATGCTCAGAAGTAGAGAGCTTGCCTCACATGGGTGACGCCCTGGGTCTGATTCCAGGCACTGCAAAACAAAACAAAACAAAACCCCCAAAACCATGAAAGGTAGACATGACGAAGTTAAATTGAAGTGTTTGCTGTAACTGGCAAACTCTTTAAGCATTCATTATCTGTTACTGTAAAACGCACCAAAAGAATCAGACTGGCTCTGTTCTTTCCAAACCTATCAGTTGAGCTAAGGTGCTCTTCCTTACTTCAGACATCTGCTACCTGCCTAAAAGAAATCAGGCGATTTGATGAAGAGCAAGCAAACAAATACTTCAGTGTTCACTGTCCAAATCCGACTGTGCTAGGTGTGTTTTCTTTAGAAAATAAGAAAGTGGAAGAACATAATGGACTGTGTATTTTGTTGACGGCAGCTTTGATGTCACTGAGTTCCCGGGGCTGCCTGGTGCTTTTCTCTGCTCTCAGTGGGAAAACCAAGAGCTGCTGCCAGCACAGTTCCTGGTGGTTAGGGACTAACTAGGTACTAGGTGCCAAGTTTTTTTCCAAAGAGGAATGACGTGGGTAACGTTTTTAATCTCTCTCTTACCAAGCTTCAAAAACCAATCTCCTGAGAAGTTGAATGCCATGCCCAAGATCACGTAGGGGGAAAACTAGAACTCACCCCGCAAGCAGCTGACCCCCAAACTTCCATGCTTGAGAGCTGTAATCCCTGATTCACAATTGGCGGAAATAAGGAGGAAAAGCTCTTAAGGTTATCATCCACTTACTTAGAATAGAAAGACACGTGCTTCGTGAAAGTGCTCTGTGTTAGAAATGAGCTGGCCAAAGCAATGATGTCAAATAAGAAGCTTTTAGACACTGTAGTAGGGCCAGCAGGGATGGCACAAAGGACGAAACCCAGGCTTGGTAGGAGATAGCTTTAGGTTCAATCCCCAATACCAGATGGATCACAGTTTTGTTTTTCATAAATAACAGAGATTTGGGGCAGCACTTCCAACAGCGCTTGAGGTCTAGTGATGTTGGCTTTGGACTTGGGGCTCCACGTGTGAAACATGTGATCCACTTGTTTCACCACCAATAGAAACATCCTCGAGTAGTTTTTTTAATTATGTTTTGTTGTGGGGTCCACTCCTGGCTCTGAGCTCAGGGATCACTTCTTTTAAAAATTTGTATTTAATGTAGGAAAAAGGGAAAACTACTGATACAATTCTAGGATGAAAATAGGTTGGGGGCCAGAGCAGTTGTAGAGCAGGTAGGGCATTTGCCTTGTACACGGCCAACCCAGGTACGATCCCCAGCATCCCATATAGTCCCCAGAACACCACCAGGAGTAATACCTGAGTGCAGAGCCAGGAGGAACCCCTGAGCATCACCAGGTGTGATGCGAAAAAAAAAAAAGTTGGATAACTGTAGCACTGTAGCACTGTCCTCCTGTTGTTCATAGATTTGCTAGAGTGGGCACCAGTAACATCTCCATTGTGAGACTTGTTACTGTTTTTGGCATATCAAATACGCCACGGGGAGCTTGCCAGGCTCTGCCATGCATGCGGGCAGGATACTCTCAGTAAGCTTGCCGGACTCTCTGAGAGGGGTGGAGGAATCGAACCCGAGTCAGCCAGGTACAAGGCAAACACCCTATCCGCTGATCTGAAAAATTAATTTATGTGAACATTGTTATGTCTGATGGTAGAGTTGGTAAGCTTAAAATTTTATTAAGCTTTTTGTTGCTTCGGGAGGTGTCTATGGTCTGGGCCAAAGAGTCAACAAGGCAGCAGAGGTGGGAAGAGCTGGGGTGCTGGGGCTTCCGGAAGTATGGGGGGATATTATTCAGAGATTGGTGTTTCTGTAGAAAGTATTTGTGAGGGGGTGGAGCTGAGCTCTTTGGCGCAGCTATAGTGATGGGGATGGTGCTGCTGCCAGAACCTTTGTTTGGCAGGTTTTAAGCCCACCTGCCTCCTATGGGCACCCCTGAGGTTTTCAGCAGTGAGGGGCAACAATTCCATAATTCTTTGGCTGCTTGGCTTGCATCTCCTTGCACTGAAACATCCGGAATTCGATCGCAGGCACCACATTTGGTTCCTCAAGTGCAGACAGGACTGATCCCAAAGCATAGAGCCATGAATAAGACCCGAACCCTTAAAGGGCCTTAATGGTAGATACAAGAAGGGAAGCTATAGAACAGCCATTCAGCCTTGTGATTGTATTCACAGTCAAGGCTGAAGAGCCATTTGCCGGTAGTGGTAATAGTCAAACCTAGCGGGATCCAGGAGCCTCGAGGTGAACACAAATACATCAACTCTTCCCCAGGTTAGGGAGTGGCACAGGTTCCGAAGGTGGTTGAACAGGTGGGTGGGCTCAGGGATCACTTCTGGCAGTGCTTGGGGCACCATATGGGATGTAAAGGATTGAAATCGGAAGGCCTCGTGCAAGGTAAGGTAGATACCCAACCCGCTATACTAGCACTGCCATCCACATCCTAGAGTTTTATAGACCTGTGGATTGCAGGTTCTCAGTTTAAATGACCCAACACAGGTTCATGAGACTCAGTGGGCTAGGACAATTATCATTCCAGATCATGCCTTGTCCATCATTGAAAACTAGTTATCAGTATTGCATCAAAGGCTGGAATATCTTTCTTCTATCTACCAGTGGGAACACTGAAGCCAGAGAGACAGTCCAAGAGTTAAGCTGCTGGCCTTGCCTTAGAGTACCAGATGGTAGCCTAAGCACAACCGAAAAACCCCGGGCCAAGCTGAGGTGGCCCAAACAGACAAAGTTTTTCTTTAATGGCAAGGTTTTCTGTAACTGAAGAAAATTAACAGGGTAGGTTCAGGAGGTAGAATTAATGAAAAGTTTTCCTGTAACCAGGGAAAACTAAGAGGCTAGGTTCACAGGTAGGTAATAAGTTTCATCTTCAAAGCATTAAAAGGATGAGAGTAGGGGCCAGAGCAATAGTACAGTGGATAGGGCATTTGCTTTGCACTTGTCACCTGGGTTCCATCCCTGGCACCCCAGATGGTTGGTACCCAGAGCCCTGGCAGGAGTGATGCGCAGAGCCAAGAGGAAGCCTCTGCTGAGACTATACACCGCCAGGTGTAGCCTGAACACACACACACACACACACACACACACACACTTTGCTGAGGCTACACCACCAGGTGTAGCCTGAACACACACACACACACACACACACGAAACAAAATTTTAAAAATCTGAAACATAGTAAAGGACCAGAAGGGTAAAAAATAAAAAAAAAAAGCTTGCGGGGAGTCCTCGCTTCCGCGCCGCCCAGCCTCCGCCACGTGGAAGGGGCGACTTGAGCGAGCACAGTCCATTGGCCGCGCCGCCTCCAGACCACGCCCCCTTCGCGCGCCGCCCCGCCCACAGGCGCCACGGCCGCTCGGCGGGCTCCGGGCGCGCCGAGGGTGGGCGGGGTTCACCCTTGCCCTCCTCCGGCTCGGCCAATCGGCGAGCGCCCTGTTGGCCGTCCGCCGCTCCGCGCCCCGCCCTCTCCCGCCGGCCTCCGCGGCCCAGAGTCCAAGATGGCGGGCTGCAGGCGGAGGCGTCCCGGGGCCGGCGCCCGGCCGCTGCTGTGCGCCCTGCTGCTGGCGCTCTGCCGCTCGGCTGGGGGCGACGGCGCGGGGAGCGACCCCGCGCCCGCGCCGCCGCATCGCCGCTTCGAGTACAAGTACAGCTTCAAGGGGCCGCACCTGGTGCAGAGCGACGGGACTGTGCCCTTCTGGGCCCACGCGGGGAGTAAGCCGGGGCCGGGGGTGGGGGGGGCGGGGGGCTGGCCGGGACCCCCGGGCCGCGCCGCACGCTGGGCCCTGCGCCCCCTCCCCTCTGCGCTGCCCCCGCCCGGCCTCGGCGATTGCTTCGTGGGGAGGGGAGGGTGTTTGGTTACTCCCTGCACTTGGGCGCGCTTCTGGGCATCGCGTTTCACCCGAACGCCACGTCTCCCGGGGAGTTGTGGGGGGGGGCGGCGGAAGAGAAAAGGAAACCCCCTCACTCGCACCCCCCTTCTGAGACACCCCCCTTTTTTGCGTCCCCCCCCTCTTCCCCGGCCCCGTTTGCTCGGGCGTTGCTTTTCTCCCACGCTAGCCGTGCTTGGGGGCTCGCTTTGCACCCCCTGCCCGCCTCCTCTCCCTCCCCACCTGCACCCCGGTCCCCTCGTCACCCCCCCCCCCCCGGGCCTCACGCAGGTGGCATATGCTGGTTTAGGAGGGAGGGAGGTCAGGGCTGGAGGACTTCGTGCCCACTTGGAGTTTGACAGTTCCTCCCCACCCCTACCCAGCCCGGTGTTGGGTAGGAGGGATGCGTCTTTCTAGCCTGGGGGCGGGGGTGGGCACGTTTTTGGAGAACCGCATCCCTGGAGCACCCCGTCCCCTCCCCGGGGTTAGAGGAGCCACCGGTGGCCCCAAGCTGCCTGCAAATCTCTGCCGGGGCCGAGAAGAAAGAAAGCCCCGCGGGGTGTTTCAGCGCCGTGACACTTTGTAGCGCTGCTGATGTATCTCCGCTGGAGGGGGCGGGCGGGGAGCGCTAGAGCCGACCTGGCCACGCGCGCTCGCGGGGTGAGCGCTGGGGCAGCGCCGAGAGTCGCAGGCGGGCGTGGGCCGGGCTGTCAGCTCCCTGGGGCTGTGCAGAGGTGCAGGCCAGCCGCCAGGCTGCGGAACAAAAAGGTTGCACGTCTAGGAAGTAATTGCGGAAGGGCCCGATCACTGGAATTAGTATATAATTAGAAGATACAAATTTGATTTGACTTAATGGCCAGCTCGTTAAAGTAAGTTGAAGTAGGGTGCAATTATTAGGTTGCTAGGGGGACGTGTTTCTGGGAGCATGCGCATGCATTTTTTTTGTTTGTTTTATTTTTTTAGATCATAGTAACATTGTCCCGTAATGTACCAAACTCACTGACTGGGACTGTTTGTTATTCTTTTTAGGAGGATGAATTAGCCTGGGGTGATAAATAATGTCTCTTTTGCGGTCTTAATGCTCCTCTCCATTTCTGCTTGCCCCTTTCTCTCCCTCCCCCCCCCAACCATATCAGTCCATTAGATAAGTTAATCAGCTCCTCCAGCTAGTTACCTTAAGTTTCTTGACTGCATCTATAACCAATTCAGTCTGCCTGCTGGAGAAACGTCACCTGAATCACAGTTGCTGGGCTACACTGAACTGGAAGTAAATCTCTTGCTTTTATTTCCCTGTAATTTTAGTCTCTTAGCCCCACTCATCTTTTTTTTTTTCTCTTTCTATTTTGCCCGGAGATCTATATATTTTTTATTTCAATTTTTTAAGTAGAGTAAGCAAAAGCTTAGTTTAAAGCAAGGCCCTTGCATTTGTCCCTGGATTATGAGCAAGTCTGAGGTGTTTCTTAACGCGAATGCCCTTTTGTACGGTCAGGATACATCCTTGGGTCCAGAAGGGCAACGGTGATAGCAGCAGCCTGGGATCCTTTATCGCCCTTCTCCACTCTTTCACCTTCATTCTCTGGTTCCAGGGCGGGCGTGCCTGGCGTCAGCCCCTTCATGGCTGATGCTTTCCTGGAAAGTTGCACAGCTCCTGGGCCCGAACCGTGGTTCAGGTGTTACTGGGCTTGCCTTGCAGGCAGCAGACCCCAGTTCAGTCTCCAGTCCTGCATGTGGTTCCCTGAGCACTGCCAGGAGTGACTCCTGGGCACAGAGTCAGGGGTCTGCGCTGAGCACCACTGGGTGTGGCCTATTCTCCCCTTCCCACTGCCCCTCCACCCCCCACCCCCAAACAAGAAAGTAATATTGCTGCTGTCCAAATCCTCGTCTTCTGATCCTTGTTTCCTCCCATCTGAGTGTTGAAGGTGCTGGTATTGAGGGATCTCAGCTTGTCTTCTGTGGATTTGTTCTTCCCGTTACAGAGAAAAGTTAGCTCCCAGCACTGATAGCGGCACAGGCTGGAACTGGCTGCTGGTAGTGGGAGAAACTGATGTTGGTTGGAACTTGCCTATACCTTGCAAAGGGACTTTCCTGCCACCGCGGGCATTGGGGGAAGGGAATCAGCTGGCCTGCGATCAGTCATCTCCTAAGCCCTGGGGGGCCCCTTATGCTGTCCCTTGGGGCAGTTACAGTCCCCCACCAAGAATCTGGGAGTGCTTGCTGGTGGGGAATTAGTGGACCCTCTCCCCTGAAAACTGTCTAGGTGCAAGAAATTTTGTGTATTAACTTCTGGGGTGTTCACGGATGCGACTGTAGAATCCGCGTTCTTTGTGGAAAGTTACATACACAGTTATTTGAGCTCAGTCCAGGACGAAGGCTCCCGATTCCTAGGGGAGGGCTCTCACACAGTTGGGGCTCTGATATTTGTGCACAGGGAAAATCCCTTGCCTTAGTAGTGTGCCCCTTTTTAGATATTGAATTGGTCGGATCTGGGTGATAATACAGTGGTTAGCGCTTGCCTTGCATGCTGCCTGACCCATTAGGCATTTTATTCCTGGCACCCCATATGGTTCTCCTAGCCTGCCAGACAGATGCCTGAGTGTAGAGCCGGGAATAAGTCCTGAACTCTGCCGGGTGTGACCCAAAATCCGGAGGGGGAAATTTTTGGGAAAGGAGTCAAAGAAGAGTCGGGTAATTTGCCTACAGTGAAAAATACCCTGCTGCTCCTACTTGGAAATTTTAGTGTGTGGTTGCACAATTCACTTTTCTCTCCTTTTTTTTTCTCCTGGAGGTGCTTGGGGGACCATATGGGATGCTGGGGATTGAACCCAGGTCGGCCACGTGCAAGGCAAACGCTCTACCTGCTGTACTATTGCTCCAGCCCCTCCTTTTTTTTTTTTTGCACAGTTGTTTTGCTCTTCTGGAGACAAATGATAGAAAGCCCTAAATTTTTTTTTTTCTTTTTGGGTCACACCCGGCGATGCACAGGGATTACTCCTGGTTCTGCACTCAGGAATTACCCCTGGCGGTGCTCAGGGGACCATATGGGATGCTGGGAATCGAACCCAGGCTGGCTGCGTGCAAGGCAAACACCCTACCCGCTGTGCTGTTGCTCCAGCCCGAAAGCCCTAAAATTTAAAGTTGGAGCTGCACATCCACTTTTCTTCTAATGAAATTGCTCAAATTAAAAGGGAATCTCTCCAGCAGTATGTAGCAGTTTGGGCAGCGCTTTGCTGAGTTTTACCTAATTCTCACTTCAAGCTTTTTTCCCCTGCTTTGCATTCTAGATGCCATTCCAAGTTCAGATCAGATTCGAATAGCACCGTCTTTAAAAAGCCAAAAGGGATCGGTGTGGACAAAGACAAAAGCAGCCTTTGAGAACTGGGAGGTGGAGGTGACGTTCCGAGTGACCGGAAGAGGTCGGATTGGCGCAGACGGCCTGGTAGGCGCTCTCCTTTAACTCCGGGACGCGTGCAGGGGTCCGCACGCGTGGACGGCGGCTCACCCTCCTTGTCCCGGCTTGCAGGCCCTTTGGTATACAGCAAACCAAGGCTTGGATGGGCCCGTCTTTGGCGCAGCGGACATGTGGAACGGCGTTGGCATCTTTTTCGACTCTTTTGACAATGATGGAAAGGTAAGTTTGTTTTCAGCCCTCCCGCCTCCTTCACCCTCTTGCCTGCTGAACAAAGTCTGAGTGGGAGAAACCCCCGTCTGGCATCAGCTCAGTAGCAGACAGCACCCCCCAGCTGCAGATCCGGGGCTCGTCGTGAGGGAGGTGGCCAGTCATACGTGTTCAGCTTTGGGTACAGGATTGGCCAGTGTGTGGCCATAGAGGCCGAGCTGGTGCCCTGATGCCTGAGGGCATGGAGGCGGCTCTCTTTCCATCCCCTTTCCGTACCTTGGGGTGGCGCCTCGTGATGTTGGCAGAGAAGTCCTGAGTGCAGGGTTTGCTTCCGTGAAAGCATGTGTGTGTGTGTGTGTGTGTGTGTGTGTGTGTGTGTGTGACTGCTGTGAGCCAGCCATCAGCCTTTTCCTTGTGTTACTCTCTGATGAGGCTCTCTGCCGATTTCTCCAAAAACACAGAGAATAAACGCACTTAACCACTGACTGTGTCATCCAGGCATAGTTTTTAATGCCTTTGGGTTGATGATCTGTGTTTCAGCATGTTTTCCCCGCTGAGGGTCAGAGGCCCTGTTGGCAGTTTCAAGGTGCGTTGTAGTGGCTTCCTAACTGCGAGGTCCTGGTTGTCTTGTGGGTACCAGGCTGCTGTGTCCTTGTGTATGGGTTGAGGCTGATTCTTCAGGGCGGGGTGTCAGGCTGAGAGATGCTCTCGAGGCTAGAGCACAGCAGCCCTTGGTCTGGACCCCAGTACCACAGGTTCCCCGGGCACCACCAAGTGTCACGCCACCTCCCTCCAAAACAGAAAACTGAGAAAAAGATGGTACACGTCCTCAGACTTTGTTGAGCTGCTACAAACGATGCTGTTTTGAATGATTTTCATCTTGCTAAGCTACCCCCACCCCAGTAATAGTAATCTCTTGTATTTGTTATTTAAAATTTTTGAGTCCTAGAATTTTAGAGTTGTAAGAGCTTTATAACACATGCAGAATGATCTAGAGATCTTTGATCAAAGCACTATAAAACACGTACGTTCTCTTTATTTTTAGAAAAATAATCCTGCTATAGTAATTATAGGCAACAATGGACAGTTCCATTATGATCATCAAAAGTAAGTGTGATTTTTGCATTCTGCCTGATTTTCAGCTTCTTCTCAGAAACCTTGTAAAACATTTCAAATCTGAATACTATCCAGGACGAGTGTTATTCTTGAGGCGTGTTTGGTAGCTTGTCCGATCTTATTTGAGTCTGGTTGTTTTACGGTGGGCCAACTCGGATTCCAGACATTAGAATCGTGTTGTTGAGGGGGCTGGTGGGATGGCTCGGAGGGAGAGTGCATGCCTGGCAGCGGGGAGGCCCCGAGTGTGATCCCCGGCCCTGCTGGTGCCGCATGTGCACTGTCCCTCTGCCCATCACCCCCAGGAACACCTGGGACCCCCCAGCACTGCCCTGTCGGGGCCTTCCTGCCAGGCTGAGCGTTTGCTGGGTACAGCCCCCATGGAAAGGTAATTAAAATGTGTGCTTTTATTTACCCTAAAACCACATCCTTTAAAACTTATTTAAAAAATTTTTGCAGTTATGCCAGTAGTTTTTTGAGGGTTTTTTGGTTTTCAGATTTGGGTTTTTGTTTTTTCTTTTTTGTTTTTTTTTTTTTTGGCTGTTGTTTTTTTAACCTTCATCATAAAGGTGATAGTGGTCTTTCCCAGAGTTCAGAGCCTTGACCGGACTTGTGGTAAATGATTTATGCCCCTGGTGTGGCTTTATGTGAAGAGCCTTGTGGACAGTCATGCTGACGTGGCTGTATCGGTCAATTGCCACTGTGCGCCCGTTAGGTGCCTGCCTTTTCGATTCTTGTGCCTGTTGCGGGAGGAATCATTCACCCCACATCCTGTAAGGGAAGAATGGCCTGTTCCCCATTCTGGGTCGTTGTTTCTGGCCTGTATTGCTGTGGGACCCTCGGGAAATAGAGTTGCCTCTGCCTCTGCTTTGGGACTCACTTCTGGGTTTAGGGTAAGACTAGGAATCTGCCTCTTTTTTTTTTTTAAACTCCATGTGATTCCTCTTCTGCTGTAAGGACTGCCCCCAGCATCAGCCCATGACCTGTGGTGCCCCGGGCAAGTCCCAGGAAGATCACGTGTGTGCACTGTGGGCTGCGTCAGTGACGTTCAAACATCTCTAGACTTTCTCTCGTCCAGTGCTGTTCTGCCTCCCAGCCCGACATTTAAACACTTCCTGCCTGTCTCCCTCTCCCTCCTGCTGCAGTGACGGTGCTAGTCAGGCCCTCGCAAGTTGCCAGAGGGACTTTCGAAACAAACCCTATCCTGTGCGGGCCAAGATCACATATTACCAGAAAACGCTGACGGTAAGGATTCGGGGGGCATCCGGGGTGGAGGTGGCCCGTGTGTGGGGGGGGGGGGCCACGTGCCGCCTGCTTCCTGAACAAGGACCACCGTGACTCCCCGCTTGTGTCACAGGGCATGAGAGCCTCCCGCGGGTTTGTTCGTGGGCATCAGTACCCAAGTGCTGTGCTGGGCCACAAACGGGATCAAAGCTGGCGGTTTCCCCCGGGAGCGCATCGGTTGCTGGAAACAGTGCTGGCACTTGGGAAACACGGCAGCCCAGAGCCGGGGAAGGAATCTGGGGGCTCCGATCCCAGAGCACTGCCTGGGCTAGGACTAGCCTCTGACGTTGTCAGAGGAGAGGTTGAAGGGGATGGAGGCCCCTGTTCTATTTCCTAATCCCGTGCCCGCTTAGGGGCGCAGAAATGAGCGACCTTGGTGAGCCTTCCCCCAGGCTTGTGGTGTGGCCCGGTGGGAGCCCCTTGAGGAGAGACGAGGGGGGCAGGAGTCTGCTGGGGGCTGGGGGCGTGTGTTTGTCCCAGGCGCGCCCGGCCTCTCTGTGCCAAGGTCTTTATAGACCTTGCGGAGAATCATCTGAGACGCACTTTGTGGTGGGCTTTGCACGCCCTCAGTGCCCCGCATTCTGCCTCCCTGGTGGGACTCCTGTTACTGTGGCTGTTGGTCCACTAACACGGAGGCCCCGAGCACGGTGTTTACTGCACTCTCGCAGAGTGAGAGTTGTCAGCTCAGGGCTGGAGAGACAGTACAGGGGTGGAGACACTTGCCTTCTGCACGGCTGACTTCTGTTCCATCCCCAGCATCCGCAGATGGTCCCCTGAGCTTGGCCAGGAGTGATGATCCCTGGGCACAGTGCCAAGAGTAAGCCCTGAGCACCGCTGGGTGTGAATATCACTGCGGGCCCAAACCTCACCATCCAGTGGCCTCTGGAGATGGTGGCCACCAAGCTGCCAGGGGGAGCAAGCAAAGGCACGAAACTTATTCCCACCTGGGGTGGCCCAGCGCCAGTAACCTACTGTGGGGACCAGATGCATTTCTGCCAAAAGACGCTGGGTTCCGAGATTTGTTTCTGAGTCTCTGGGATCATGGCCATTATGCAGCTTGATCAGGAGCCAGAGAGGCAGTTCGTGGGCAGCGACTCGGAGTCTCGTTGGGGCGGGGAGGAAAGGGCCAGCTCCACCCCCATCCTGTGAGGCCCTGCGTGGTGTCACTGTGGGCCCAAACCTGACTGTCCAAGGGCCTCTGGAAGATGGCGGCCATCGAGCCGCCAAGGGGGGAGCAGGCAGAGGGACACACCCTTTCCCCCTTAGGGTGGTCTGGCACCAGTAGCCCATTGTGGGGATCAGACGCAGAGATACCAAAAGCTGCTGGGTTCCGAGACTTGTCTCTGAGTCTCTGAGATCATGGCCTTTAAGCAGTTTGATCAGGAACCAGAGAGGCCTTGTCTCCAATTACATAGCTGAGCTGGAGGTGGTTTGTGGGTGTGTCTCACACATACCTAATTTTTGGCGGTTTACTTTCTTGGTAAACTTTGCCCCAAGTTTTTGGATTCTGACCTACGGCACAGCAGCAAGTTTGGGGTATTTGGAAGTCTGAAGGCACCATCAGGCTGCTGATGTACTCGCCTCACAGACACAGATTGACTTGCTGGTGGCACCATACCCCCTGCTGGCCTTGGCTTTGCGCTGGGACTTCAGATCAGACCTGATCCTTCCTCCAGAGGAAGTAGTTGGGACCCCTGCGTCTTGTTAGAGAAGCTGAACTGAATTCGATTTCAGACCAATTTCCAAAGAAGGGGAACAGGTTTTCCCCCATAAGCTCTCCGCACATCATAGGGCCAAAACCGTGTTCTTAAGTGAAGTTCCGTGTGAAACGATGCGAGAGCCCGAACCCTTGCAGGCAGCCCTGGGGCACGTGATTGCCTTTGGGCGAATCAACTCCCGTGGGCTCGGACTTGGTGGGTCCGAAAGTGACTTCACAGCATCTGTGGTAGAAACCGCGGCTACCGTGTGTCCTGCAGGTGATGATCAACAACGGCTTCACGCCAGACAGGAACGATTATGAATTTTGTGCCAAGGTGGAAAATATGGTCGTCCCGGCACAAGGGCACTTTGGAATATCTGCTGCCACAGGGGGTCTTGCAGGTAAGGCCTTCCTCCCTCCCGCCCCCGGGGTCGGCTTGCTGTGGGGACCTTTCTGATTCCCCGTGAGCTTCCTGAGTTTGCACGCAGGGCCGCGGGGGGTCCCCAGATGACAGGCTGCACATACCCATTTCCATGGCGGTGTTGGGCCGCTGTGTCACAGGGAAGCGGACAGACTTTAGGTCGGGCCAGGAAATGGCCCGAGTGCCCGGCAGCAAAGGAGCGGATAAAGAAATGGTGACCCACCTTCATAGCAGGGAAGGGTGGAGCCTGGCGCTTGGCTGCAACTCGGATGGAACTGGGGTAGTCTCTCTCCTACGTGGACTAGGACAGCGACAGAAGGGATTAGAGCAGAGACGGGGGCCTCCCTTGGCCGGGGGCCGTTGGGTGCTTCTGACGTCCTTTGCAGGCTGTGCTGAAGCACGCACCAGGCAGACGCCCAGATTTCACAGGTTGCGTGGTCCCCACTGCTGGCTGAAGTAGAACAGGGACCCAAGGATACCAAGGGGCAGAAGGGGTGCTCGGGGAGCAGGGTGGCAAGTGGGAGCCACGGTCTCATGAGCGCAGCCTCGGATGCAGTGATGGTGCAGCTGCTCAAGGGGACTCTCGTGTTTGAGGCCCCTGGGAGCCGCCAACTTGGGTCAATGAGTTGGTCACTTGAGGAAATACTCTGAGGGACTGGGGCTGGAGTGATAGTACAGCGAGTAGGGTGTTTGCCTTGCACACGGACCAACCCAGGTTCGATTCCCAGCATCCCATATGGTCCTCCAAAAATGGCCAGGAGTAATTCCTGAGTGCATGAACCAGGAGTAACCCCTGTGCATCGCTGGGTGTGACCCAAAAAAGCAAAAAAAAAAAAAAAAAATACTCTGAGGGACTGGATTTTCTTTTTTGTTGTTTTATAAATTTTACTTCACAATATTTGATTACGTTTAATATTCAAACACCAGTCCCACCACCATACCACCTTCCTACCACTGTATTTCAGATGTTTCCATCCCGAACCCCAAGCCCTGCCCCCAGGCAGAACCGAAATCACATATTTTGTATTGTTTGTTATAAAAAACCACTGAAAATGCTACAGAAAGTATCCTAAGTGGAAAGAGTGTGAAGATTGTTGTATTTCACTCAGGAGCCATTAAGCCTTTCTATTAGAGATCACTAACATGTTGTTAAAGGTTGAACCTTGTGTGCTTATATATATATCAATATAAAAAAAAGTTTCCCTGTGAGATTGGTTGGAGGGACTAAATTTTAAATAAGATACAATTAGTCTTTTTTTTCTAGCATACGGTGATAAATTTAGTCCATTTTAATGTCAGTTAATGGGTAGATTATATATTTTTAAATTATTTTTACATGTAATTATATATGTGTGTGTATATATATATATTTATATTTATATATATAAAATGAGAGGGGAAAGATTGAATTGACCTTGTCTCTCTTTTTTTTTTTTTAAATTGGCCCATTGAAGCATTTTCTGGAATTTGTTTTGTTTTGTTTTGTTTTGTGGCCATAGCAAGGCTTATTTAAAATTTAGTCCCTCCAACCAATCTCACAGGGAAACGTTTTTTTATATTGATATATATATAAGGTGCTCAGGGTTTACTCCTGACTCTGCTTAGTATGAGGTGTCAGGATCAAACCCAGCTCAGCCACGCACAAGGCAGGTACCCTCCCTGCTGTGCTTTGTCCCCTGGGTTTTCTAAAGGCAATTTGGCCGGTGGGGTCGGCCCAGCCAGGACCTGCTCTGTTGTCCTGGGTGCTTTGTCCTAGCTTGCCCTGTGTCAGTTCTGATCGGATCCCACCTCCACTAAGTTAGTTTTCTCCTGAGTCCTACTGGCCTTCCTTCAGTGCCCGGCAAAGTACATTGCTCTAGCTCTCTGGCTGTGCAAGCCAGGTGGGCATTTTATTTTTTGCTTTTTTTGGGTCACACCCGGCAATGCACAGGGGTTACTTCTGGCTCTGCACTCAGGAATTACTCCTGGTGGTACTCGGGGGACCATGTGGGATGCTGGGAATTGAACCAGGGTCAGCAGTCATGTGCAAGGCAAACACCCTCCCCACTGTCCTATTGTTCCAGCCCCGAGGTGGGCATTTTATTTCAGAGTCAAGATTGGAGCTATGACCCTATTTTCAGCTTAAGAAGCTCAAAATTGATTTTTTTTTCTTTTTTTTTACATCTACTCATATAAAAATCTTTAGTATCTGCTGTGTGAGAGAAGCAGATAGAGCTGGATCTGCTCTATCTAAAAACATGTAGTGGGTCACTTTGGGTGTGGAGGTTCTGTCAGTGGTGGCAGGACAGCGTGGATAAGTCAAGACCTTCACAGTAGGGTAGAGAGGGGACAGACGTATACATAGCACAAAAGACAAAGGGCCAGAGAGGTGGCTCAGTGGTTAGGTGCATCTTTGTGTGTGAGAGGCCCAGGGTACCATCACGGCAAGAAAGAAGGAAGGAAAGAAAGGCAGAGAATGCTGAGTGCTGAAGAAAGGAACACAGATGGAAGACTGCATGAAACACAATATTTCCCTTTGATTGCAGGTCTATTCTGTGAAGGAGATTTATAGGTGGTCTGGGAGCATCTTGCTGGTGAGATTAGGGGTTTAGGCTTGTTTTGAACCCCTAGTTGTCTGCTCTTTGCTTAATCAGATGTTTCTTTTTTTTTTTTATTTTATTTTATTTTATTTATTTTCTTTTTTATATTTTTTCTTTTTTATTAGTGAAACACCATGAGGTACAGTTGTAGATTTACAAATTTTTGTGCTTGGATCTCGGTCATACCACGATCAAATACCCATCCCTCCACCAGTACCCATTTTCCACCACCAGGATAATATCCCTCCCCCCCCCATCCTCCCATCCCCCCCTCCCCCCCCCTTACAGCACATGAGCGCAGCTGAGTGTTCTAATTGAGGATTTTCAAGTGAAGCTAAGCTGATATTTGATATCAATCCACGGCTTTTTTGTTTCCTCAAAATCCAAAGCGCATCATCATTATCAGCAAACTCGAGCCTCTCTTGGTTGTTTCCCTGAGCGGTGGGGAGCTCTGATTCATGACCCCCAAACCTCTTGTTGTTTGCCTTTTCAGATGACCACGATGTCCTTTCTTTCCTGACTTTCCAACTGACGGAGCCTGGGAAAGAGCTGGTAAGGGTGCACCCTGGGAGGGATGCTGAGAGCGAGTGGTTTCCCTGGGCGGTGGCACTCAGAAGGCTCCTCGTGGCCTCCAGGCCTGGCCTGGCTCTTGCTGCCAAGCGTGGCATCCGGCGGGCACTGCATCTGGGCTGGGCTAGGCTCACGTGATCCACCGACAAAGAGGTCGAGGTCAGTGTTCTTTCTTCCCTGTTTTTTTTTTTTTAACGGTCTTATCAACTCCAAAAAAGCCTACGCCAGATAAAGAAATTTCGGAGAAAGAGAAGGAAAAGTACCAGGAGGAATTTGAGCACTTCCAGCAGGAGTTGGATAAAAAGAAGGAGGAGTTCCAGAAGGACCACCCGGACCTGCAGGGGCAGCCCGGTGAGTCGCCCAGTGCCTGGCCCAGAGCCCCGGACTCTCCGTCTGTGGCAGTCTGCTCACTGCAGGGGCCTGCGTCCTCCGCCAGGGAGCAGTTCATGCTGTGAGAACAGGGCGGCCTGTGGCCTGGTGGCACTGCAGGGCAGGCCCTGGGGGGGGGGAGGGGCAGGCTTCCCTTGGCTCACGGTGATCTGACAACCGATGTAGTCGGAGTAGTCGGATGCGTGGAGAGAGGTGTCCGAGCCCTGCTCCCACCTTAAAGTGGTGCATGGTGCCACTCAGTGCCCAGGGCGTACGTGATGCCGCCCAAAGCTCCAGTGATGCCCAGGCACGAGGCACAACGTATAGAACATGGGGCGCTCAACCCAGCCTGAGTCCCACCCTCACCACCGTGTGTGGCTCATCTTGGGAAATAAACAGGTGGGCAGGAGAGTGGGGAGAAATAATTCTCTCCCTCCTTTTCCCCTTAATTGTGGCATTCCAGAACTTTGTACTTTAAACTGTCACTGTATTCCCATTGTTCATCGATTTGCTCGAGCGGGCACAGTAACGTCTCCATTGTGAGACTTGTTACTATGCTTGGCATATCGAATACGTCACAGGGAGCTTGCCAGGCTTTGCCGTGCAGGGGAGATACTCTCGGTAGCTTGCCGGGCTCTCCGAGAGGGGGCGGAGGAATCGAACCTGAGTCGGCCGGTTCGGCTGCGTGCAAGGCAAACACTCTACCCACTGTGCTATCGCTCCAGCCCTTTAAACATTCAAACCTTTTTCTTTGTTTGTTTGTTTTGTTTTAGGGCCACACCTTGCAGTCCTCAGGGGTTACTCCTGGTGGTACTAAGGGGACCTTAATATAGGATGCCAGAGGACTGCAGCTGGGTCAGCCGTGCACAGGGCTAGCCCTCCCTCCCTTCTGTACTCTCCCCACAGCCTCTCAGTTCCTCTTCAAGTCAAACCCTGCCTCCCCTGCCCCCTCAGGACACCCACATCCCTGGTCTGTGCTAGAGGTCGGGTCTGCTAGTCCCGGAAGGAGAAGCCCACACAGAAAGGCACTGAGGTGACAGGAGCCAAACCTTTTCTAGCCACCAGAGATGGCAAAAGGCAGTAGTGAGTGATTTGGTCACTGTTAAGTCACCTGAGTGCTAACTGTGGGAGATGACCACTGTGAGGGTGACGTTCTGAGTCACGGTGGCACTTGGGTCACACGTGGTTGCTCAGAGTCGACGTCCTTGTAGATGATTGTAGAGATCTGATTTGGGGCACTCAGGAATGACGCTGGAGCTGCTCCGGGCCAGATACAGAACCAGGAACAGGCAGGAGGCAAGGCGAGCTCCTCACCCGTGTCCTCTGGTCCAGCCCTCCGGTCAGTGTCATTTGTCATTGTCACTTCAGCAGAGGAAATATACGAGTCCGTGGGAGACCGGGAGCTCAGGCAAGTCTTTGAAGGACAGAATCGGATTCACCTTGAGATCAAGCAGCTGAATCGGCAGCTGGACATGATTCTAGACGAACAGAGAAGATACGTCTCTTCCCTGACAGAGGAGATCTCCAAGAGAGGAACGGGACCCGCGGGGCAGCCTGGCCAGGTGCCGGGGCACGAAGGAAGAGGGGGACGGGGTGCCTCCTGAGGAGGAGAGGAGGAGGAGAGGAGAAGGGGAGCCTCCCTGAGTGGCTGCTTTTCTCGTGTTTGCCCTGCAGCTCTCTCAGCAGAACCTGGACACTATTGTCAACACTCAGCATGAGATTCTGAGACAAGTCAATGAAATTAAGTAAGTCTCTGAGGTAAAGTCTGGTGGGCCGGGAGGTAGCAGGTAGGAGCATGCGTGAGGCCCAGAGTTGGTTCCTGAGTGACACATGTGCTCCCCTCCTCCACATCGCTGGGTGTTGTGTGTGTGTCTGTGTCTGTGTGTGTTCGTGTGTCTGTGTGTGTTGACCACCCCCCCATGCTGCCCTAGCTGCTCTGCATCGCCAGGCCCCCAGCTCCATCCCACTGGGCTCAGTGCTGGGTGAGCATCCCCTGCAGTGGCTCTGGGAATCCCCGCTAGAGAAAGAACGTGGTGCCATCGAGGGTTATGTCATAGTCTCCTCACTGAACGCATGATGACTTACTTAGCTGGGCAAGCTTGTTAACATACAAATTACTCCGTTGTTGTAAGTTAGTAAATATTTTTTAAAAAATAACATTGTAGTGTCCTAAGAAAAAGCTGGTTCATACCAGTTACTTAACAACCAGAAGTGTTCTTGTAGTTCTAAAACTTGGAGGGAATGTGGGGTAACATGAGAATCTGAGAACTCAGGGAAATTATACAGTTACTAGGGGAGTAAACATACACAGCATGGCAGGGCAGCGGTGCACGCACGTGTGTGTGCGCACACACACACACACACATACACACCGGGGCGGGGGGAGCCAGATAAAGCTTTTGAAGGAAATACCCTCTATCACACTTTCATTCCATTGACTGGGACCAAGGAGTTATTATGTCCTTGGAGTACTGAATGATGAGTTTGCCAGAAGGGTTCACAGCTTTCAGTGCAGAGCGAAGAGGAGGCCAGAATGGCTCATTTTCATAAGCTGATACATGCCCCGGCCCACACAATCCATGGCTCCCAACAGTGTGACTCCTGAGTTCTCTGGAACTAGAAAATGAAACAGAATTAGATTAAAAGCGATTATACTTAACACCAAAGGATTAAAGCCACCTCATTTGTAACTGCGAATTTCTGTTTCTCTCAGTCTTGTTCTTCGGCATATTTATAATGAGCCTTGAGTTGTAAGCCCATAGTTGAAATATTTATCATGCTAAATGGATAGTTAATCTCGCTTCGAAATCGGATCACGGAGTGTGCTTTTGAAAGCTGTTAGATCTGATCTTAGACTTCACATGTGGCCAGAATAGCACATTTTCCCAACCCCCTCACCCGGCGTCACTGGGGAGGCACCTGGTTCTCAGCCCCGTCTTGATTTAGTAGATCGTTCACTTTGCGTAAAAAGTGACTTCGCGTTGTCCACCTGGTCGGGGGACTAGCTGGGAGGCAGAGCTCTTGTTCGGCTGGCTTGTGGCCCCGCGTTCCATCCCTGCCACCAAAAACCAGAAACAGATTTTCTCTGGCTTTTTTGTATGTTTGTGGTGAGGCAGGGTAGGAGGCGGGTGTTTTGGCCACAACTGGTTATACTCATGGCTCTGTGCTTAGAGATGGCTTCTGGTGGGACTCAGGGGCCATTTGGGGGGCCGGGGATCAAACCCAGATCTGCTGCATGCAAGGCAAGTGCCCTCCCCACTGTACTATCGCTCTGGCCCACTCCGGACATGCCCTTCGGAGGCTGCTGACCAGGCGTCATTAAGGAATACCGTGTTCTTGTTAGTTTGTCGCTGTCCTCTATCCAGTTGATTCAGGGGTATTTTTTTTTTTTTTTGCTGATGGGGGATACATGATTTCCGTAGCCCCAAGAGCGAGGCTAAGAATATATTCACTTGGAGAATTGCTCACTCGGCCTCATTCTCATTCTTCCCATCTTGCCAGAGCTTTCCCACTCACCCCCTCGTCGTGCCCAGTCTGGTTCATTCTGGCATGTTCTCCTGCACACACTGGTTACTCCGGCCCCTTCTTTCCTCTGTGAATGATGGTGGGTGTAGGTACATGTGTGTTCTCTGCGCGTTCATCTCTACAGCAGCGTTCAGGCATGCTGCCGGGTCAGCCGTGGGAGGGGCAGTTCCTGTAAACTCCTGGTCTCCCAGGAAGAATTGGACAGCCCGCTTCCAGAAAGCTCAGAGGAAAATTGGACTCCGGTTTCAGGGGGGAAAGTAAGGAAACACAGTCCTTGGAAGCGAAGGGTGGTTCGTGTCTCCGTGGATTTCCGTAGTGTTGGAGAAGCTTAGGAAGGTCTTAGCGGGAGCGTGTAGTTCAGTCTCGGGAGAAGGGCCCCACGTGAGCAAAGATTCCATTATCAGAAGTCAGAACTGCTTCTCACCACCTCCTTTCTGTGTAATTCCTATCAAAGTTTTGCCGATTTTTATTTCTGGTTTAGAACATTTAAAATCTGTAAGGAAGCGGGCCATGCTAACCTTCTCTGTATCGTTCCAATTTTAGTATATGGGCCGGCTGGAGCGATAGCCCAGCGGGTAGGGCATTTGCCTTGCACGTGGCTGACCTGGGCGACCCGGGTTCTATTTCTCCACCCCTCTCCGGGAGCCTGGCAAGCTACTGAGAGTATTTCACCCACATGGCAAAGCCTGGCAAGCTACCCATGATGTATTCAATATGCCAAACACAGTAACAACAAGTCTCACGAAGGAGACGTTACTGGGCCCGCTCGAGCAAATCGATGAACAGCGGGAGGACAGTGACAGTGACAGTGAAGGAAGCGGACACCTGTAGCAGGCCCCCACCCCTGCCCGCTGCTCGGTCAGCATTTCCGCAGTCCTAAGCGGCCGGCCAGTGCCTGCCTGACCTTCTTCCTCTGCTTCCGAGACTGTCTCTGCCTTTAGCCCTCCATAGTCTGGCTGCCTCCTCTCCCACTGGTAGCAGGACTTCCTTGCTGTTCTGTTATTGAAAACCGAATTAAACACGGGCTGGAGAGATGGTACAGTGGGCGGGGCACTTGCCTCGTACGCCGCTCCCCCTGGTTCAATCCCTGCTACACTTGCAGTTCCCCAAGCACCCTCGAGTGTGATCCCTAAGTACACAGGGCTAAGCCCCGAGCACTGCTGGGTGTAGCCCAATACCTCCCTGCCTCCAAATAAAACCAGGCTCAGTATGTCTACCTTGAATTGACCTGGTTTTCTTTTATTTATTTATTTTGTAGGAGTACTGCTATTTATTCAGCCACTGATTAGCTGATTGAATTGTGCATGAACTCCACCTTACTTTTTTTTTTTTCACTTTTTTTTATAGTTTTATTTATTGGATCACCGTGAGAGCAGTTACAAAGCTTTCGGGTCTAAGTCTCGGGCTAAGTCTCGGTCATACAATGAAACACCCGTACCTTCACCAGTGCCCATTCTCCACCACCAAAAACCCCAGTATACCCCCATCCCACACCCTCCCCCTACCTGTGGGGCAGATGATTTCCACATCTCTACTTCGATGACATTAAATATTTCGACACCAGACCCCACCATTATTATTTGAGATTTTACCCCAAGACTCAGATCTGCTGAAAAGGCAACAGTAGACAATATGTGTTCTGTTGCTGGTATGAATAACATACGATGTCACATGGCTGTAGTAGGGCCATGTGATTTTGAAATTCCAAAATTATAACACTTAAATCTGGAGGGATTTCTGCCAAAAGCCACTGGGTTTCGAGATTTGTTTCTGAGTCTCTGAGATCAAGGCCATTAAGCAGCTTAATCAGGAGCCAGAGGGGCTGTTCGTGGGCGATGACTTGGGGTCTCGTTGGGGTGGGGAGGACAGGCCCGGCTTCCCCCTCCTCCCCATCCCGTGAGGCCCAACAATTTTCGTCACTGCGGGCCCAAGCCTGACTGTCCAATGGCCTCTGGAGGATGACGGCCACTGAGCCACCAGGGGGAAGCAGGCGGAGGGACAACACCCTCTCCCCCCTGGGGTGGCTCGGCGACAGTAACCTACTGCGGGGTCCGGACGCATTTCTGCCAAAAGCTGCTGGGTTTCAAGATTTGTTTCTGAGTCTCTGGGATCATGGCCGTTAAGCAGCTTGATCAGGAGCCAGAGAGGCCGTTCGTGGGTGATGACTTGGGGTCTCGTTGGGGTGGGGAGGACAGGTCCGACTCCACCCCCATCCCATGAGACCCAAAATGTCTCGTCACTGTGGGCCCAGACCTGACTGTCCAATGGCCTCTGGAGGATGATGGCCGCTGAGCCGCCAAGGGGGAGCAGGCAGAGAGACAACACCCTTCCCCCCCTGGGGTGGCCCGGCGACAGTAACCTACTGCGGGGTCTGGACGCATTTCTGCCAAAAGCCGCTGGTTTCGAGATCTGGTTTTCTTTTAAAGCTTTTTTTTTCCTTTTTTAGTTGACACCCCCTGTGTCTGTTTGCACCGCCGTGATCCCCCTCACCCCACTGACCCACAATCGCTCCTCCTGTGCCCCAGAGTGAACCCGTCAGCCTCAGCCCTGGCCTTCCGGGGTGGGCACTGCCCTCTGCTCTCTCCCCAGCGGGCGGTGCCTGACCTTCCGCCTGGGCACCACTGCTTCCACTCTTGCCTCGCCACTCACTGTGACCCTTGACAGCCCAGGCCAATGCCCACAGAGCCGCGTGTCCTTCCGCACCCGAGTGTGGGTGCTGGGATGTTGGGGCAGCGCCCCCACCGCCAAGTCTCTGCATCGATGGAGCCCTGCGGCCTCTTGGTCGGTGTCCCTGCTAGTTCCTGCCTCGGAACAGGACCCTGCCCGCGTTTACTGTGTCAGCAGGCAGTTGAGTGACCTGCTCCCTGTCCACTCAGACGGTGATTACGGGCATTAGAGCAATACAGTGTAGGGCACTTGCCTTGCCACATGGTCCCCGTGCCCAGGAGTCAGCCCTGAGCACAGCTGGGTTTGGCCCCAACCCCCAAGGGAGGCATTTGCAGGGGTCCGGGAGCTTGCCTCAGGGCACTGCAGGTTGCTGGGGTAGTTCCAGGCTCTGACATCTGTCTCCTTGTTGGTATTTTAGGTAGATTCTAGCACATCCCGAATCTGCACTGAATAGCTTTCTTCTACACCGTGCCGTTAAATACGGCCCTGGTTGTCAACAGCAGCATAAACGGATTGCCTGAACCCAGAGAATTCAATTTCTGTAAAGGTGTTTTAGTGTCGCGGGGCCTGGGCACTTTGGTGGTGATGTCATACCCACTGTACTTTAGAACTAAAGCCGTAAATGCCATTGGAACCGTGTTCCTAGACTACAAAAATAAGTGGTTTAAAAAACAAATACCTGGACCAGAGAGAGTCAGAGAGCCAAGCATATGCTTTGTGTGCGGAAGACCCGGGCTGGATCCCAGGGGACCTCTCTGTTCTCCCCCCCTTCCACCCCAAGCACTTTGGGAGGTGACTCCAGAGTACAGAGCCAGGAGTAAACCTTGAGTGCCACCAGCTGTGCCCCAGAAACACCCTACCTGCATTAATCAGAAAGCATTTTGGATCATCCATGGATACTTTAATGTCATGATTGCTCATGTAATTCTGTAACTCAAATATCATGGAAAAACCTTTTTCAGTACTTAATAATATTCAGCATGACAAGGCATTTCTCTCTAGTCAGTTGTGAGAGAGAGACAGAGAGTGTGTGTGTGTGAGAGAGAGAGAAGGCATTTCTCTCTAGTCAGTTGTGAGAGAGAGAGAGAGTGTGTGTGTGTGTGTGTGCGCGCGCGCATGCGCGTGCATGTGTGTGTGTGTGTGTGTGTGTGTGTGTCGCTGTCCTGCCATTGCTCTGGAACTCTGCCGTCTGTCTCCTCGTGCTGTGTCGCCCTCTGAGCTGCGTCGGGCTGCACACGCCCAGCTCTGTCTAAAGAATGGTGCCATTGCAGGAATTCCATGAGCGAGACCGTCAGGTTGGTGAGCGGCATCCAGCACCCCGGGTCCGCGGGGGCCGTGTACGAGAGCACGCAGCACTTCAATGACATAAAGGAGCACCTCCACGTCGTGAAACGCGATATCGACCACCTGGTGCAGCGCTCGGCGGTGAGCCCTCCTCCCTGCCGCCCCGGGACGGAAGGGTCCTGTCCACCGGGAGCAGATGCCCCAAGCCCAGGCTCATGTTCGCAGCCACGGGACCCAAGTGTGCATGTCCACCGGGAAGATTTCTACAACCTCTGGAAAAGAAGTTTATATATATATATATATATATATTTTTTTTTTTTAATGACTTGCTATTCCAGTTGGTGACCTTATCATTATCCCAGACTTGGGAAATTCTAAGCTCTTCTCTATAAGTTTTATTTTTAAAAGTCAGTCTGGGGCTGGAACAGTAGTACACCGGGTCTGGCACTTGCTTGCAATTGGCAGACACAGGTTTTGGTCCCCAGCACTGCGTAGGGTTCCCCGAGCGCTGCCAGGAAGAAACCCAGAGTACCGCAGGGTGTGGCCCCCAAACCATAAACCAAACCAAAAGTAATTTAAAAAACCACTGCAGGGCCAGAGTGATTGTTAATAAATAGGGCGATTGCCTCCCCCATGGCCAACCCATATGATCCCCTGACCCACCAGGAGTGATACCTGGGCGCAGGGCCAGGAGTAAGCCCTGAGCATTGCTGGGTGTGACCCAAAAGTTAAAAAAAATAAATAAATAAAACCATTGTGCTGGGCCAGGGACATGGCTGGGAGGCCAAGCACAGGGGCAAGGTGAGTGCCCACACCCATGGAGGAGTGGGCGGAGCACCAGGGCCTCTGACTCTGGCTGTACTGGAGGAGAAGGGACGTAATTGTATCTCCCCCAAGCTAAAAGGTACTTTGCTTTACTCCCAGTAAAAACCTTTACTGGGAGAAAAGACAAAGAGTTGGCGCAGAGACCAGGATCACCTTCAATACCGCACTCAATCACGATGCCCGGGATCACATAATGATTAATCTGGTCCTGCAAGGGTGAAGAAATGCCTGCCCTTGGGGCCCTATCTGTGTCCTCCAAGGCCACTGATGGGCGACAGTCCAGGAGGTGGGAGATGAGGGTGGAGGGATAAATGGGAATATACCAGTGTTTGCACCGTCAGCCATTCCTGAGTCCGGTGAAGGTTTTGCTATTGGTTTTTTTGTTTTTTATTTATTTATTTATGTTTGCAGTCATGTCTTGAATCTGTATTGGACTAAGAGTAATAAGATATGTCTCTGAGTGTCACTGAATATGTATTTGGCTCTGATGCAAAGTCTGTTTTGCATTACAGCCGGCAAATGAAAGGCCCAAATGCCCGGAACTTCCACCATTTCCATCCTGTTTGTCGACGATGCACTTTGTCATTTTTGTAGTGGTACAGACGATGTTGTTCATTGGTTATATCATGTATAGGTAAGTGTCTCCTGAAACTTGGTCCAGCCTTTGTCAGCATGGGTTTACCTTGCAGTGCTCCGAGGGGTGGGAGCTGTCCACGTAGGACTCTGAGTACCTCTAAAGTTAGGTTTGCACAAAGCCGACTCCATGCAGAGCTGGGGAACAGTGTAGAGACAGTATTTTATACATCACAGAGCACATCCTGTTCATTTCAGACAATCCCATTGCTGGAATATGAGGACAACTTTCAGGGTTGTTTTTTCCCTCTCTCCCTCTCTCTCTTTCTGTAGGACTCAGCAAGAAGCAGCTGCCAAAAAATTCTTTTGACCACAATTTTCATATGTGTACCATGTATGTATGTACAAAATGTCTTGTGAGGGAATGGAAGTATCTAAATGGCTTCATAGTCTAAATTATTACATCTTGTATAAAATAACTGTTGAAACACTGATTTGCAGTAAGAATAAACCTTAAAGACAACCACATGTAAATTGTGTATAGTACATAAATGTATTTAAATGCAAGTGAATTTCCGGCCAGTAGAATTCAGCCATTGAAAAGAATATTGATAAAGAAAACAGTGCGGGCGGCCCTTGGCTGTCAACCGTCATCCAGCTCACAGGGGTGGGCGGTTTCTACTTAACAGGAGCGCACTCGCCGTCCCGGCCCCTGGAAGTATGATGTCTAGTCCAGAACCCCCATCAGATTGTCAAAGGTCAGGGTTTCCTGCTCTTGCCGACCAGCCGTCCAGTCCTGTCAGACCCCCTGAAACCTGAGACTGTTTTGCCCGGGAGCCGCAGGCTGTGGAGAATACTTCAGGTTCCTGGGTGCGTTTCCCCCACTCTGGTCATCAGTGAAGTGAGGGGAGGATGCTTTGAGCTACTCCTCGCCTGGGAAACGGTTCCAGCGTTCCTCTGAGAAAGGCTTCTCTGGGCGCTGTGCTGTCTGCCCTGTGTGGGTCGCCCAGCCTCAGGTGTCTTGGTTCCGGCGGGTGCGGTCAGGACCTGGGAAACTACTTTCGAGTGCATCCTTGCAAGGCTGTTTCTCCCGCCTGAGCATCACGCCAGTTCTCCTCAGAGCGTATGTTCCGAGAGGGCATTGCAGTCTTCCACGAGGCCCTTCTTCACTTCCTGTCTCCTCAGCCTGCGACTGCAGCCCTGTCAGCATCAAAGAGGCAGTAGTCAAAGCAGCATTAAAAATTCTTAAGGCAGAATTTGATAAATAAGGTCAGTACTTTGCATCTCTCTTAAAGCCCTAAGTAAGGAAGCTGTGAAGTGTGTGCTGGTCAGCTCGGCCTTGAGGCGTCCAGCTGAAGGACCAGCGACCGTCCTTGTGTAGGGGTGTCAGAAAGCCGGGCTCGGAGTGACATTCTGTAGTAAATACAGCTCTCTGCTTGTCTGCACCGTTGCTGTGGATTTCTTTATGCTGGCTACAAGATGCTCTTTCCGCTGACGTGGTCATCTTCCATTGCCCTAGAGTCCAGAATGATGTTTTTCTCCCAGAAACTGCTCTTCCGCGCCTTCCTACGATTTCTCTCAGTTGTCCTTTACGGATTGAGCTCACTGCAGCCCGTGCAGACTCTACCCACTCGCAGGATCTTTGGACACACACTGTCTTGCTTGTCCCCATAGACAATGCCTCACTCACCTCTGCCTTGCTGACAACATCATCACCACAGAATTTATTCTTTGCAGAGGGTGGGGGAGCCAGAGGGTGGGGGGAGGTCACCTATAGAGCAATGTGTGAACGCTTAGGAACGGCTCCTGCTGTAAGAGGCTGCAGATTCCCGGCGGTAGAGAAGGTCATGGTGGAACTGGTGGAGGGTAGCAGAGCTGTGCTGTGGGCGCGTGCAGGCTAACTCAGGGGCCTGATGCATGTGGAGGCCGCAGTTGGGAAGGCATGCACACGGAGCTCTCCCACTTCACTAGATCAGAAAAAAAAAAGTTTGCACAGGGTGGGGTTGAGCTTAGGCTTCCGAGTTCTGTTTCTTTTCCTCAAAATCATTGACTTGCCCTTCATTTTGAGAGAAAAAAAAATGTTCATTCTGTGGAAAAATCAGTCACTGCCAGAATTCTGCCATTTCTATACTCTTTCTATGAGTGAATTTGTTAACTTTCCTCACACCAGCAAGTATTCTACGGGTGCCTTGGATTCCAACAGAAACTGATTTTAAATTTTTAGTGTAACTCACCGTGTGTATGATGCCAACTTGTCAGAAAAATGTAATCACCTAATGGCTAATACCGTTCTTTAATGTACCTGTTTGTGTTTTAATTGTTTAAGTGTTTTAGGCAGTTTTAAAACTTCACTCTGAAGCCAAGCACCATGAACTATATGTGTTGCTGTGTATTGGAGAAATCGGTTTCTCGTGATCAAGGATTGTTAGACATTCAGGTTCCAGGGGGCAGATAAAAGAGCAGGGAGGATGTCTGCCGTGCACACAGCTTACCCGGGTTTGACCCCTGCATCCCATAGGGTGCCCCACGCACCATCAGGAGTGATCCCTAAGTGCAGAGCCAGGAGTGGGCCCTGGGTGGTCCCAAAACAAGAACAAAGAACACAGGTTCCAGGGCACCTTTGCAAACTGGCTGATCATAGCTCAGATGAGGAAGTGTTGGGGGGGGGGCTTCAGAATGCCTGCATCAGCAGGGCCCTGGGGGACTTGTGTTTGGAGAACTATCAAGATGAGGGAGTAAAGTAAATAAGTTGTTTTGTGTTGGCATCGAGCCAAACCGAGAGCGTAGTGAACTGCATCACTGTCAGGAGCAGACGCACCGACTGCCCCGCTCACAGTATGCTCCTCGGTCTTTGGACAAGACTAGCTTCCTCAGCAACTTCAGACAAACCCAGATCCTTTTCCTGTAGTTCCTGGAAATCCGGCTGATGACTTGAAACTGACAGACTCCGACTCATGGCCTGACTCTGACAACACCCATCTCCAGGTCTGCTTTCCTGAGGGGGATTCTTGTGACATTTTTATCTCAGACACTTGTACTTTTTGATAACTCGGGGAAAAGAAATTACTTGAACAAGGGATCGCCTGACACCCTGCATTGCAGAAATACAATCTTTATATGTAAAAAACACAAATACTAATTGTGACTATCCAGACGTGATGATCTTTTCCTGTCCGCGTGCTTGTTGCAAGCCGGTGGTAAACAAATGATTCTGTTGAAGATGCTTTTATTTATGAGAGCTAATGTAAAGTCACCACTTGCAACTTTTCAGATCTCTATGTTGCCTGTTTAATATAATTCTTTTTAAGTCTAAAAGTTTTCTAGCCATCGTTTATTTCGATTCGATAACATTTTTGTCAAGTATTGTTGGTTTTTTTTTTTCTGGTTGTTACTTGATGCTAGATGGAATTTTAAAAATGACATTGACCTATTCAAATAAAGAAATATTTTAGTAAATTTATTTGTTATTTTTCTCTATTCATCTCAGGTAGCTCTATATTTCCCAAATTGGTCTCGATTTGTATTTCATTCGGTGTACTGCGTGCTGGTGCCATGTACACCACACAGAAGCCTGAAAAGGGAAGAAGAAACAGTGACTGTCGAGATGTTTAGCCTTGCTGGTCAGGAAAAAAATGCAACCCAAACAGGCTGCATAGTTCAGCAGCTAGGGTATTTGCTTGGTATGCAGCCAACACGGGTTTGATCTCCAGCATCCCACATGGTTCCCGAAGTACTGCCAGGAGTAATTCCTGAGTGCAGAGCCAGGAGTAACCCCTGAACATCACTGGGTGTGACCCAAAAAGCCAAAAAAAAAATGTCGATTGAGTGCTTTTGCCTTTCATTACCAAATGGGATCCCATCGTCCTCTCCAGCAGCAATTTAAAAATCTCTTTCAAACGCATCATTTAACTGAACAATTCAGAGAGTCTGTGTCGTGAAGAAAGAATAGGACTTTGCAAGAATAGTAGAGATAAAGTATCAGGAGGTTTGCTCCACGGCTTGGAAGCCGGCCTCACATGCTGGGGGAAAAGGCAGCTCAGATAGAGAAGGGACCACCAAGTAAAGGGTGCTTGGAGGGCCTGCTCAGGGTGGGAGATGTGAGCTGAAAGAAGACTATAGATCAAACACGATGGCCACTCAATACCTCTATTGCAAACTGCGACACCCAAAAGGAGAGAGAGAGAACAAAAGGGAATGCCCTGCCACAAAGGCGGGGGGGGGGGGGGGGGAGATACTAGGATCATCGGTGGTGGAGAATGGGCACTGGTGGAAGTATGGGTACTCGAGCATTGTATGACTGAAATATAAGCACAAAAGTTTGTCAGTCTGAAACTACCTCACGGTGGTTCACTAATAAAACATTAAAAAAAAAAAAAAGAACAGGGCTTTGGTGTCAGATAAATCTGGAGTTTGACACTCAGCCTTCCCGCCCATGGAAGGGGTGATGGCTCTGAGAAAGACTCAATCTGAGGGGCTAGAGTGATAGTCCATAGTGATAGTGCAAGGTAGTGCAAGATGCCTTGCACACAGGTCATCCATGTTCTATCCCAATATAGCATGTCCTGGAGTATCCCTGAGGCACCTTCTGCTTGCTGCTTCACCATCCTAGGTGTGGCAAGCCTCTGGCTGACATCACTGGGCCTATTCCAGATGGAGGCAGAGCACCATCCTACCAGGTGGGTTCCAGCCGCCTCCAAACCCACCTCACCATATCAAGGACCCCACACCACAGCTCCTAGGTCAGGCAAAGACAGAGCAGTCTCCAGCTTAATCCCTCAGTATCTTCCAGGAGGGGGTGTTTACAAAGACTCGCCCCCAACACAAGATCACTAGAAAATCAATGGGGAAAATAGAGAAGCCCACCCAGCTCAATAGGGCTGGAGCGATAGCACAGCGGGTAGGGCGTTTGTCTTACAAGCGGCCAACATGGCCGACCCGAGTTCGATTCCTCCACCCCTCTCGGAGAGCCCGGCAAGCTACCGAGAGTATTCGATATGCCAAACACAATAACAACAAAGTCTCCAATGGAGACGTTACTGGGCCCGCTTGAGCAAATCGACGATCAACGGGAGGGCCTTTACCTTTACCTTTTTACCCAGCTCAATGAGCAAAAACAATAGCACTCAAGACATAACACCAGGAAATCCTCAAGATAGTGTCTTTAGCGACACTACGATGAGGATGTTCAATGAGTTCAAAGAAAGGATAGGACAGGTAGCAGCAAAGCACAAGAAAGTGAGAGTTGAAATGAAAACTATTACAAGTCAGAAGTGAAGAACATGGTATGTTAAAAAAAAAAAAGTCCATAGAAGCTCTGAACATCTGAATGACAAAAGCTGAGCAAAAGATCGAGGAACTCCAAGATGAGAAGGAGGAAACTGCTAAGAAACAGCAGAATGTGGAAAATAGCCTGGAAAGAAATGAACAGCATACCAGAGAACTGTGGGATGAGTTCAAGAGGAACAACGTAAGAATCACAGGAGTCCCTGAAGAACAGGAAGGTAAATGTGATGAAGAAACAATAGCTAGAGAAATTATCAGTAACAGCTTACCAGAGGATTATAGGCACCAAGGTCCAAAATGACCAAACGGTCTCAGTGAAAATAGACCAATATTGAAAATTTTGAAACATAATCAAAATGACAAAATCCAAAAATATTGAATGCAGCGAGATCAAAAAAGGAACTTACAAAGGAAAGCCCATTAGATGTACAGCAGACCTATTCAATGAGACTACTAGTCAGAACAGAGTGGAAAGATAGAGTACTAAAACAACCAAATGATCATCTCACCAATAATACTCTAGCTGGATTATCATTCAGTAACTGTACAAAGCTTTATGGACATGAAATAACTTAAGGAATTCATATCTTGAGACCAGTTTTGCATGAAGTGTTTAAAAAAGTTCCTTTAAAGAACATGAGAAACTTTCTTTCATGTGGCCTCATTGGGTATAGTGCTCACTAATTGTCCTCTACTAGATTAAGGGAGGTTAAAAGCAGCAATTCTTGATCACTAATTGACTTATTGATTTCTGATCATTCTATTTGCCTTTTCATTTTTTTTCATTTCATCATCCTGTTAATCGTCAATTGCCTCGAGCAGGCCCCAGTAACGTCTCTTTCATCCTAGCCCTGAGATTATATTCACGGCTCTTTAGGAGAATGAGACCCATCATTGTTACTGGTATTTGGCATATTTGGTAGGCCACGGGGAGTTTGCCAGACTCTGCCCTGTGGGCAGGCTACATTCGATAGCCTGCAAGTTTGTCCAAAGTAGGAATGAGATAATAAGATGTCATAAAGAAAAGTTTTGATAAGATGTTGCGCGGCCGCAAATGCGGCCACGCGGTTCCGGGATCTGGATTTTATAATCTCTGAGTCTTGGCCTTTAAGTTTTATTATATCCCTGCCAAGGAGGTAGGCTGAGGGGTTGAGGGTAGAAGGGTACCTGGGGATAATGGTGGAGGGATGGGGACGTTGGTGGTAGGATTGGTGTTGGGAGGTTGTATGCTTGAAACAGCTCCATTATGAACAACATAGTAAAATCACAAAGACCGGATAAACATTCATGAAAGACAAAAAAACCTCCTGAGCACCACTGGGTGTGACCCCAAGACAATAGCAACAAGACTGTGAAGTGGTTTCAGGCAATAATAGTATTCTCTCCTATGTTGACCCACAGAAATCCTGGGTGAGATACAGCATTAAAACTCAGTGGCCAGATCACCCACCCAAACAGCCCCAGCAGCTGAAACCCTCCCTAACCCAACACTGCCATGCTCATGGCCGGAATCCACAGGCTCAGAGCGAGCCTCATCCAGGAATGAGTCTGTTGAGAAACTCAGGTACATGCATTTTCGTGACTGAAAGCTCTAGGCTGACACAGAGTCAGGGATGGGCGACCTCGTTCCGGGAATCCCGTCTTCCAGGAGCCTGGCAGTCCGCCCGTGAACTGCCTTCACTGCCATATAAACTCATTAACTGGCCGTGATCTAGAGACTCAAATCTCGAAAGAGATCAGCACACTGCAGAGATACCTCCAGAGCCCAAAGTCACCATCCAATTAAAAATTTAACTCCAGCCAATATCACCCCATTCAAAATTTTAGAATTCCTGGAGCAACATCTTAAATTCGACACCACTGCTATACCAGGCATAGCACACCACCACATTGGATGGGATGTAAAGGAGAAGGCAACTAATCTCAATTAAGAAAATATTGACACACAAGGTTTAATCTGTAACAGTAATCTCTTATACAAGAAGGGCTTACTGGCTCCAGGATGAGGTACAACAATCTTCACACACTTTCTTTTAAGGAAATATTTTTTTATCATTTTGAGCTGCCCTTCCTATACCTCTGACATATTCTTTTCACTGTGTGGATAATTTGAGAACTGAGGGAAACCTCTTTTCTATAGAAGAATCTGTGTTCTGAGACCACGGGGTGTTTCAGAATCATGCAATTCCAAGGTGTGGTGATGGGCCCTGAGGAGAAATATTTTGGCTCCTTATTTCCCAATTTTTTTCTTTCTTATTTCCTCATCAAAGTACGTTACACTGTGTCATAGTCACGTTTTGAATTTTAACCCTAATTTTCTAGGTATACTGAGGCTCAGGAACTTAACCGGTACCTGAGTAATAGAGCAAGTTACTAGACCAAAACTGGTTCATAGATCAGTGAGATGAATTCAAACAGCAACCAACTTGTCTGCAAAGCACTGGTGAGTGGAGGAAAGAAGATTCTTAAGTGTGTTAGTTTCTTCACTTGGAACAAATACAGCCATAATAAACACAAGAAATTAGAAACTTAAGATCGCTAAAGAAAATGTAAAGTTAACCTGTATTTAAACATTTGGTTTTATTTCACTCCTTGATTGATGAGGGAAGTGACTAAAGAGCTCAGTGGTTTAAACAGAATAGTCTTAGTCCCACTGGACTAAGCTATCCCACTGGAGCGATAGCACAGTTGGTAGGGTGTTTGCGTTGCACGAGGCCGACCTGGGTTCGATTCCTCTGCCCCTTTCAGAGAGCCTGGCAAGCTACCAAGAGTACCTTGCCCGCACAGCAAAGCCTGGCAAGCTCCCCGTGGCATATTCAATATGCCAAACACAGTAACAAGTCTCACAATTTGTTGTGAGACATTACCGATGCCCACTCGAGCAAATCAATAACAATGGGAGGACAATGCTACAGTGCTACAGTGAGCGAATTATTCCTAACAAGCAATACAAAGTAAATTATTTAGGGCCTGCTGTTGGGGCAGGCTTAGATGGTGGTTGGGAAAATTGGAAATAAAGGTGGTGGGTAGGTGTAATGTGGTGGGATTGGTGGTGGGATATTGAATGTAATAAGTCATCGTGAACAACTTTATAAAAAATAAACTTGAAAACCTCAGTGGGCAGACTCGGAAGAAGGGTTCAAGGAAGCCTGCAGCAGACTGGGGAAGGTGAG